TAATATATTCACTCGTATACTACGTAAAGTACAAGAACAAAATATTCCATTCAGAAAAATTAGGTCAAATAGGAATGGCCCAAGGTGGATGACCAGAAAACTTAAACATGACATAGGAATAAAGAAAGGAATTTATATGAAATTAAAGGGAGGGGAGGAGCAGCTCAGAAATAGGTATAATAAACTATCTATGAATGTTAAGAAAAATTTAAGAAGGCAAAGAGAGACTATGAAATCAGGATAGCAAGAGAATCCAAGGCGAATCCCAAGGGATTTTCCCAGGTATATAGAACAAAGGTCAAGGACAAAGTTGGGCCTTTAAAGTCAGGTAGAGGGGAAGTGATCGATGACAGTGGAGAAAAAAGCAAAGCATTGAACAGCTACTTTTTATCAGTTTTCACAGAAGAAATTCACGAGAAAATTCCAGAGGTGGAACTGATATTTAGGGAAAATGAATAAGAGAAATTTAAGAATATCACTATTAGAAAAGAGGATGTTCTTAAGAGGATAAATAAATTAAAGACGACAAAATCCCTAAGGCCGGGTGAATTTTTCCGTCGAGTCTTGAAAGAGTGTAGGGAACAGATTAGTGAACCCCTCGTAAATTTTTTACAAAATCATTAGCCATGCGAGTTGTGCCAGACTTGTGGAAACAGGCAAATGTAGTACCCATATTCGAAAAGGGAGACAGAGCATCAGCGTCAAATTACCAGCCGATCAGTTTGACGTCAGTAGTGGGGAAATTTCTTGAATCAATTATAGCAAATAGCATCCGATCGCATTTAGAGAAAAGCAAATTTTTCTACGTCTCTCAAAATGGGTTTACAAAGGGAAAGTCTTGTCTAACATCTGCTGACGTTTTGTAGGAAAGTCTTTGAGGTAGTAGATAATGACGAAAATTACGATGTTATTTACTTAGACTTTAGCAAAGCATTTGACAGAGTACCGCATCAGAGGCTTCTGAGATAAGTTAAGGCTCATGGTATTGAGGGAAAAATTTTAAATTGGATAAAATCAGGGCTCACTGATAGAACACGGAGGGTCAGCGTAGATGGTGTTAAATTTGAGTGGGGCTGTGTAACCAGTGGGGTTCCCCAGGGGTCAGTACTAGGCCCACTCTTGTTCATAATTTACATAAACGATCTAGATAGTGCGATCAGCAGCATCATAAGCAAGGGCAGGATGCAAATGCACTACTGGAGGATTTAAATAAACTGCAGGAGTGGTCAGAAAAATGGCAAATTAAATTCAACGTCAGCAAGTGCAGCGTACTGAATATTGGAAGAACAAATACTTATAATGTATACAGCCTTAACAACATCAACCTAGAGAAGTCGACTTATGAAAGAGACCTAGGGGGTACTTGTAAGCCAGGACCTACGGCCTAATGTTCGAAATAAGGCAAACAGAGTATAAGGTTTTATATCTAGAAGTGTAAGTAATAAGAGTGCAGAGGTCTTATTACAACTATATCTTGCGCTAGTCAGGCCGCACCTCGATTATGCGGTTCAGTTCTGGTGTCCTTATTATAGAATGAATATCAATTCACTAGAGTCGGTACAGCGAAGAATGACGAAAATGATTCCGGGACTTAGAAACCTTCTATTCCCTTGAAAGACGAAGATTCGGGGAGATATGATAGAAGTATTTAAGTGGGTGAAAGGAATCAATAAAGGGGATACAGATAAAGTTCTTATAATATCCGAGCAGGATAGGACTTGTAGCAACTGATTTAAGTTGGATAAATTTAGGGTTAGGAGGGAGATAGGAAAGAACTGGTTCACAAATAGGGTGGTGGACGAGTGGAACAAGCTTAGCAACTTTGTAGTAAGTGCTGGAATGCTGGAAAGCTTTAAATGGAGGCTAGATAGATTCACGAATGACAGAGAGTGGTAATAACTCTCGACAGGAGCTGCCATGCACAGGCCAACCGGCCTATTGCAGACTCCTTATGTTCTTATGTTCATATATATATATATATATATATATATATATATATATATATATATATATATATATATATATATATATATATATATATATATATATATATATATATATATATATATATATATTTGCTGATAACCACAAGGAAAGAAGAAAACATGAAGTTCCCAAGCGCTTTCGTGTAATTCACATCTTCAGGGGTGAGTACAGACTAAAGAGAAATACAAAACAAGGTGTATATATACAGAGGAGGGTGAGACCAGGTCCACAATGGTTAGATATTAGGTAATGATCCTACTAATCTATAAATAGCACGGCAACGGTTGGTAGTCAGGTCAGAGGGTAAGGTGGCCCAACCTTCTCACCTGGTTACAAATCTTCTTAATTACAAAATTGTCCAGTTTGTACATGCCATTACTCAAATTCATCTTGAATGCTTCGGCATGTTTAATGAGACTAGATTCTATGACCTGACTACCAACCGTTGCGGTGCTATTTAAAGATTAGTAGGGTCATTATCTGATACATGACCATTGTGGACCTGGTCTCACCCTCCTCTGTATATATTTCTCTTTAGTCTGTACTCACCCCTGAAGATGTGAATTACACGAAAGCGCTTGGGAACTTCGTGTTTTCTTCTTTCCTTGTGGTTATCATCATATACCTAGATCATGCACACCTACAGTGATTTTATCAAGATTTATCTTATCCACGTTTTCATTGTGGATTTACATGAAATATATATATATATATATATATATATATATATATATATATATATATATATATATATATATATATATATATATAATCAACGACCTCACCAGCAAGAAATCGAACCCTCGGCCTACTGGGTGGGACTAGGCAACGCTTACCGGCTAGCCCACAAGGACACTAAAAGCAGTTCTAGACTCTGTTATATTTCACACAAAGCCTGTTCATCGAGCTGATGACGCCGTGAACCTCATTGGGAAACTGCCCGTGCCTCGTATGTGGTGTCAGTAGTATTTTACCGAATCCAGCTGGTATGAAACGCGAGGCACATACATATACTTCATTTTTAGTCCATATAACACGGGGACTTTGAACATATAATCAACGACCTCACCAGCAAGGAATCAAACCCTCGACCTACTGGATTCGGTAAAATGCTACTTACACCACATACGAGGCACGGGCAGTTTCCCAATGAAGTTCACGGCATCATCAGCTCGATGAACAGGCTTTGTGTGAAATATAACAGAGTCTAGAACTGCTTTTAGTGTCCTTGTGGGCTAGCCGGTAAGCGTTCCCTAGTCCCACCCAGTAGGTCTAGTGTTCGATTCCTTGCTGGTGAGGTCGTTGATTATATGTTCAAAGTCCGCGTGTTATATGGACTAAAAATGAAGTATATATTTGTATATATATATATATATATATATATATATATATATATATATACTGTATTTTTCTGTGTGTAATCTTACTTATCTGCGACCCTGACAAGTTGCTCTAGAGTTTCTGGTCTGGGCGGGTACTTGGGCAGTGTGAGGGCGGCGGTGAGGTTGCCGCGGTAAGCCGTCCCCACGATGAAAGCGAATACCAACCAAGCTGCCACCAACACCCGACTCGCGCTGCTTACAATGTGGCGTTTGTTGACACTCTGGGCCAGCAAAGTTCCAATAGCTATGTGAGCTGCGTCTCCTCCACTTATTCTTTTATAAAACTCTGCTTCGTGTTCCGGTCTTGTGACCTGCCGAAAAGAAGCATTGGTCGTGTTTATATTATCGAGGTAATTATATTTTGCATCATCAGAAATTAAGATTTTCTGGTAATTTTCCTGTAATTTGAACTAACCTCATCTGTACCGCCATTGAGGAGTCTCCTCTGAGGAAAACGTAGCAAAAAATTATAGCTTTATCTAAAAATTCGATCCCTAGTGCTTAAAAGTTTTCGATGTTTTCATTATTTTTCATTATAAGTTACGAAAAACTAATTCAAGCTGTATTAGTTTTCAGTTAGTTTAGTTTATGTCTTTATTTAAGCCCCCAACATAAGGACTGCCGTCCTATATACACCGACTCTCGCCTCGTAGGGCGAGAGTCGGTGTGTGTAGGACGGCAGTCCTTATGTTGGGGGCGTAAATAGGGATTTTCCCTAGTTAGCCTGCAGGTATGCCTCACCCTTGGCCACGAGTGGTGGGTCTCGCACCAGCGATATTTATCTGCTAAAAATCTCACAATATTCCAACAGCTTCAAACCAGTCCAGGAGTCCTTATACCTCTCTACCTCGGCCGCTGACTCGTTTTGTGCACAAATACTCTCAAAATAACGCTGAAAACCAGGCCCTGACTCACACCACACTTTTTTTGTTCAGATTCACGCTTTGTGTGTTAGCTTGTATATATATATATATATATATATATATATATATATATATATATATATATATATATATATATATATATATATATATATATATATATATATATATATATATATATATATATATATATATATATATGTATATATATATATATATATATATATATATATATATATATATATATATATATATATATATATATATATATATATATATATATATATATATATATATATATATATGAATAAATCATGTAGGTGCGGTGATCTAGGTATATGCTGATAACACAGGAAAGAAGAAAGAAGTTCCCAAGCCTTTCATTGTAATTCACATCTTCAGGGGTGAGTACAGTCTGTACTTACCCTGAAGAAGTGAATTACACGAAAGCGCTTGGGAACTTCGTGTTTCTTCTTTCCCTTGTGGTTATCAGCATATACCTAGATCACGCGCACCTACTTTTAGGTGACAATTATTAATTTCGACATATTTAAGCACAAAAGTGCAACACTCTGTAATTAAGGATTGAAAACATCAGAAATCCGAGAACGAAATCTAAACGCGTAAATATATTATTGGATATCATGAAACATTTATTGACACAAGAAATCATGCAGTTTTAAGACTTTTATGTACAACAGTGTTTTCTTATCAAGACCACTGATAATAAAATTGAGTGAGTTAGTGTGTATACATTCTTAATCCCTTACCCACTCTAAATCCAGACACACTATTATTTCATTACTCACACCTACACTCGCACACACTGTTACTCCTTCATGTACTGGGCAGTACTCTACATCCACAGGCACTCTTGCTAACTCTCCCACCCTACATCCACACACCCGAACAAAAGCCTTTACTTGGATCTTACTGTAGAGGTCAGTTAAACAGTATCTCTCTCCCCAAAAAGCTTACAGCAAACAGCAGGAGAGGCACCACGAACAGGACCACAAGCACTGACGCCCACACCTCATCTGCGAGAGGATCGTAGAGACTTTGCCACCTGGAGGTGAGCGAAGGTGTGGCCATTGTGAAGTCAGCAAACACATGCTCGTAGGGGTATGAATAGTCATACAGTAGTTGACGCTGCGGTAGTACTACATGGTAAACAGTGGCCATGAAGGAGACTCTCTCCATTACTAGTTCTGTGACCTTGAGAAGGAAAGTACATATTTCATATTACATGGGATTGGATTATTGACCTTAAGTGAACTAAATAAATAAGCTTTATGAAAATACAATTTAAAAATAACTGTTATCGAAAGTTGAGGTTATCATGAAATAATCATTGTCGCAGATTCGTCGAAAGACAAAACATTCATATTTGAGTCATAAGGGTCACATTACTGGGAACATAACGAATATCAACCAACCTGGTCCCAAGAAACAGCAGGTAGAACGTGGACGGTAATGTTGAGGGCGTGGGCGACGGTTTTCAGCAGCATGGCGTCGCTGCCTGAGTAACTTGTGCCATCTGAGTCTTTGTTTTTCTCTTCACTCCAGTACGGCCGATATGACAACGCCGTCACGTTTACAGTGGCTCCGAAAAAACTGAATAAAAAATAACATTAGCAAATAGTTATGCAAATCAATAAGTTTAAAGATGCCGCTCTAAAAATAACAGAACATCAAATCAATATACAGTAAATACTCTAAGTGTAACAAAATATTACACTCTGAAAAATAATATTTGATACTGAGAATATTCTTAAATAGTAGCAGAAAAGAAGGAAATATACTCGGCAAATATCATTGACAACAAAAGGTTGATGGTGTTGTTGTGCCTCTACTCTACAACTCTACTTCTTCAGTTTGGATTTGAAATGGATGTGAAAATTTCGTCATTTATCATTTGTTGATGATTGTATATTTGAATGACATGCCTTCTCTTGGACTTTGTGATAGAAGTTTTATTCACTTGAATGAAGAGGAGAGGAGAGAAGTTCTGGTCATTCAAAATATACATAGGCCAAGTGCTATGGCCCGACCCCATATAACCAAAGAGTAGGAATTATCAAGGTCGAATATATAACGGAAACAACTTTATACACAGACTTCCTTGGCATTGGAGAAGGTGTGGCGTAATTGTATTTTATTTGTATTTAAACAACAATGTCACAAGTGTTGATATGTTTCTCGTATCTCAGTAATAAAAAAATATTTATGGAAAATTAAGATAGTAATTATAACAATACTTTGTTATTGTTTGGAATATACATACTTGTCGAACTTCTCAGTGAACAGTTGAAGGTGTTTACTCAACACCAAACCACGTGTTTTCATCCAAAACGCAGTTAGTACTATTCTGGATCCTGAGGCAGCATAAGGCAGGTTCATATATACGTTGAATCTTGAGATCAAATTTAGCAACACGGAAAGTAAAAAAGAAAACCCGTAAATATCAATGTCAACATAATTATATAGTATACAGTACTGGAGAGAGAGAGAGAGAGAGAGAGAGAGAGAGAGAGTACTGTGATTATTTGATTGATGAAATACATCTGTACCAACTACCAAATGATTAGTATACATTACATATTAATCGTAAGTTTCATTGCAGTACCAGAAGGAATTATAATCCCTTGATATTACCTGGGCTGCATAAGAGCATCTTCCAAAATAACCAACATGGTGTTCATCATAGAGAAAGTCCAATGGGAGGCCATTAGGTCTCGCACCTCAGGAAGGGGCCGGCGGGTGACGACGAGGAGCCTCGTCGACCACACCAGGAGGCGGCCCTTGAGGGACCACTCGGCGAAGGCGGCGAGGAAGGCTGGTTCGTCGCTCACCACCACCACCGTCACGCACCATGACACCTGACGCAGCTGTTGACGTCAACACGGTAGAAGTTATGTGAGAGTGACCTACCCGCCTCAGTAGTAATGTGAGAGTGACCTACCCGCCTCAGTAGTAATGTGAGAGTGACCTACCCGCCTCAGTAGTAATGTGAGAGTGATCTACCCGCCTTACTAATAATGTTAGAGTGACCTACCCGCATCAGTAGTAATGTGAAGTGATCTACCCGCCTCAGTAGTAATGTGAGTGACCTACCCACATCAGTAGTAATGTGGTGACCTACACCCGCCGAGCCTCGTCGACCACCCGGGAGAGCTGCGCCTGCGTCACGTTAGCGTCCTGGCTGTCCTGCCACCTCGAACACCGCCACACCCCAGGAGCCACCAGCTGACATAGATCCTATGAAAACACAATACCTGAACAGTAAATGGTGCCCCATAAAAGGTTATTTAGTTCTATTATGAGGAATTTCAGTCAGGGAAAAATGGTCGTGTGAACATTGAAAAAACAAGAAAGGTTATTGGTAAATATGCTTACTCTCTTATAGCATTGATTAATTATGTGTTTATACCCCCAAACTCCACAGATGACGAATGTTCACATAGTGTCATTTGAGCAGGGAATATAGAGAAATGAATTAAGGTTCCTCTTAGAAAATTTTTCTTGATTACTTTCTGAATAAATACGGAAGGAATTACATATTTGGGGTCAAACAGATAGCGGCGAGCTAACGGAAATGGGATAAAAGAGAAATAATCTGAACAGCTATTTTCAACAGTTTTCACCACCGAAATTTCAACATGATACCCGAGAGCCACCGACTATATACAGAGATAGTGAAGAAAATAGATTGAACGAGATAGAAGTGACTAGTCACTATGTTAATTTACAAATAGACAAACTAAGCCTAACAAGTTAACAGGTCTCGATGAGATATTTACCAGAGTATTGGAAGGATGTAAGGAAGAGCTTAGTATGCAAGGTAATCACTGTAGGTGCGCGTGATCCAGGTATATGATGATAACCACAAGGAAAGAAGAAAACACGAAGTTCCCAAGCGCTTTGTGTAATTCACATCTTCAGGGGTGAGTACAGACTTAGTAAATACAACAAGGCATATATATACAGTTGAGGAGGGTGATATCAAGTCCATAAAGGTCAGGTCACTAGGTAGTGACCTACTAATCTTCAAAAGCACCGCAGCAGTTGGTAGTCAGGTTAGAGGGTAAGATGACCCAATCTTCTCACCTGGTTACAAATCTTCTTAATTACGAAATTGTCTAGTTTGTACCACCTCTTCCAGGTAGTAGATATAACGAAAATTACGATGTTATTTACTTAGACTTTAGCAAAGCATTTCACAGAGTACCGCATCAGGAGGCTTCTGAGAAAAATAAGGCTCATGGTATCGAGGAAAGTTTTAAATGGGATAAAATCATGGCTCACCAATAGAAAGCAGAGGGTCAGCGTAGATGGTATTAAATCTGGAGTGGGGCTGTGTAACCTGTGGGGTTCCCCAGGGTCAGTACTAGGCCCACTCTTATTCATAATCTACATAAACGATCTAGATACTGGGATCAGCAGTGACATAAGCAAGTTTGCGGATGACACCAAAATAGGGCAGCAGATTAATTCAGGGCAGGATGCAAATGTATTACAGGAGGATCTAAATAAACTGCAGAGGTGGTCTGAGAAAATGGCAAATGAAATTCAACGCCAGCAAGTGCAGCGTACTTAATATTGGAAGAACAAATACTGTCAATGTATACAGCCTTAACAACATCAACCTAGAAGTCGACTTGTGAAAGAGACCTAGGGGTACTTATAAGCCCGGACCTCCGGCCTGAAAACAGTGCGTTAATGTTCGAAATAAGGCAAACAGAGTATTGGGTTTATATCTAGAAGTGTAAGTAATAGAGTGCAGAGGTCTTATGAACTATATCTTTTTGAATCAGCACTGGACGCTGGGAACTACTTGCATCCTGGGAGAGAAAATCGTCCAGAACACCACGAGCAGAAGAAAAGGCTGTCTGTCAGCATTAAAGGATTTAATTAGTTTCTTGCCAACAAGGATATTGCAGATAAGTCAGTCAAAAGGACAGTAGCTGGTAGTAGAGCAGATTAGCGCCATCTCTGCCAAGCCCTCGCCAGAGAAAGACTTGATGAATGCTACAGTATGTGCCTCTATCTGATCCCACCAAGAGAAATAGATTACTCCCTGATTTCTTGCCCATTAAGAGGCTAACAGCTGTCACGTATGCAAATCTGTCAATCTTCAAGAGTGAATGTAATCTCTTTTCAAGATTTTACATTGCATGCCAGACACGAGATGGCAATTTAGGAAGATTTTTCGCACGAGAACCAGCTGTAGCACTTTCAATATTTCATCAAGGAAACCTAAGACCATGTGCAAAAGCCGAACAAGTTGCAATGCCCGAAGATTTAGCCCCTGCCGACTGTGTGGAGTCTCCTTCTACTGATGCCATAATTATTGATGGAGCTGCAATTGTGATAATGCTCAAACCAGTTTCACTGCTAGAACATTCAGCACATATGCAGCTAATGTCTTCTCACCATATCCAGAGGCAACTACAACATGTTTACATTTCAGAGACTGGACATCATCTGGGATGCTACCAAAGGATTCACGAAAGCTGCCACACGAGGAGAAGGGACAGGAGTAAGAAGAAGAGTGGATTCTGAATGACCAGTTCCTGAAAACTGGCAACGAAAACTCCATCATGAAGGAAAACAGCGAACTTTTTATTTTCTTCTTTGACAAATAATCACCACACGAGAGAGAGTTCTGTACTCTTAAGCCCCCCTTAACACGTGTCAATATTGCAGTGCTTTCTGCATGAGGAGGTTGACAGTAAGAAGATTCTGCCCATGTAGCAGCTGTCAACCGACTGAACATCCGGGAGAAATGTGGATAGCATTTGGAGTACTAAAGCACTACCGTTTCTGTGTAGTAAATGAAATAGCCACAGCTCTTGTTCCTGAGAAATGCAGTGCCTTCCTTCTTCCACAGCTTTCTTACAGGCCGTGACACTCTTCATCTTTCTTTGCGGTATCGGGAAGAAGACTTCTTGGAATGTGGGCAAACTTATGGATAATGCAATAGATGGCTTCAAATCTCTTTTCACTCATACCTGGAGGATTTCATCTGCAGATCTACTGTAGTTATAACAAAACGATTCGCTATGCTCATGTACGACAGAACTAATGACCAGTTGATCATTATGGCGTTAGGACGACAACTATTCACTAGGAAGGCAGAGCCATTGCCAACATTACCCAACCAACCAGCATTTTTACGACATACCAAGAGTGGCATATCAAACAGGTACATATTCTGGGTTCAGTGTTTCTCCACCAAAAACTACCTGAACCAAGCGACTGGGAGTGGCAAGAACTGTATGACTATGGGAAACCAGTCCAACCTTCCTGAAGCTGCAAAATCTTACGAACTGCTTCATTGTGGTGGTGGATCAAGGTGGTGCACACAGGCTGCTCTCATGCACAACTCAGCAGCATACATTGCGTGAGAACAAATTGCCTACACACCACGCTGAAAACAGTTGTTGTGTCGAACTTTAGATTTGTTTAGACCATTTTGTCTTCTTTCCCATAAAGTCAGTGTAATTTATCAAGAGCTAATTTTGACGCTGTGTGCTATTTTACCCGTAAAAATCAGTATATCGTGAATTAATGAAATATTTATACTCGAGTTGCTCTATTTCTCTCACTTATTCTGGGCTCCCTATTAGTAAATTTGATATTTACAAATACAGTTACCAATATTTTTTTCTTCAAATAAGGCTGCAGTCATGTTGATTTTTTAAATGGCTTTTTGTGGTGTATTTTGATGTGGTCTCCATATCCATATTTGTTTTCGTAAGTGACGAACTCCCATTCTCCAAAACATAATGTATGAAGAGATGTGTATTTATACCACTACTGATATAACCTCTTCATCTAAACCCAATCACAAAGTTCAAGAGCTTAATACTTTCAATGCACTTAATAAAGGACTACATTTATCTTCTTTGCGAGTTCCACGTACCAAAACACAGAGGAGGGCATACTACACTTATAAAGTGCTATATCGGATAAATGGAAATGAGGAGAAAGAGGTATACTTACTCCCGGAATCAGAGGAAGTGGGGAGTTCCTAAGCTCACTTCAGTGGGAGGAGGATGATGGAAAGCGGTGAGGTTTTGAAGTAGGTTCAAGTACCACTAGCTGCCCAGGGATTAAGTAACTTCACTTCCTCTGAATTCAAAAAGACAATTATAGAATATACCACTAACTGTCTGTTGAATTTTCTATCAACACTAACTTGGTAATGAAGACCCTAAGTATGGTAACACATTAAACATAGTACACAACATAATGCATTACACCGGCTTTTACTCTCAAAGCCACAATCAAGACTTTCCATTCCTGGTCCTTTATAGAGTAGTGGTGAATAATGAGAGTGAATTTTTTTTTTTCAAGCACATATGGCTTATTCGCACTGTTTTCAAACGTACTTTTAATAAAGTCACTTTATGTGGGACTTCCAGGAGTTAACATAAAGGACAAAAAAACAAAGTAAACCCTTCACCTTGGGGGACGCCACTTTATTTTATTTAGCTAACGGCAAACGATTTTATTCAGCACAAAGAGGATCCCAGCGGCGTGGTTAGTAGACCTCTCTCCCTAATAACATTATCAAGAGAAGTCTGAAAATTTCGCATAAGAAAACCGCTAGTCTATATAAATGAAAATAAGCATCTAGATGTAGTAATGCAAACCCGAGAAGCGGTGCTGGACTTCACCTATGCATCCACCTTGGAACCAACTTATTTGAAACCTTAATACAGCTGGAGTGGGAAGAATAGTGGTCTTTGGGGAAAGTACAAGAACCCTAGCCACGATTGTTGCCAAGCCGTTACAACAGGATAAGAGACTCGGGGAGACTGTGGAACCAATGGCCCGAGGTTCCTCAGTGGGTTTGGTTGCTTGGAATATTGAAACTCTCCAAAACTACAGAGCATCGAGCTACTTGTGCCACTGTCTCAGCATATTAATCACCGTAGAGAGAGTGTTTGCTACACATTAGGAACCTGCTCAATTTGAGGATAAATGAGAGAGTCTTGGTTCGTGATTTGTGAGACTTCGCATCGTATACAAACGGATGCAAACGAAATAAATAAGAAGATTTGCCGAATTAACGACTTTTGTTTTTATTAAGCAACTAGAACGAATTGCATATGGTTCAAATTGGCTCTGTTTAATATATGCGTCGTTTTCGTTTTAATGCAGCAAAAATTATATGAAAAGTGGGCCCAGGTGTTAGGGTAGGTTAAGTAAGTGTTATGGCAAGGCCCTTGGTAGTTAAACTGATTATTTATATGTATTTTTATGATCTACGTGATCGCTTTGCACAGTCAGAAGTCTAAAAGAAGATAAATACATGATGTTACTGCTAAATGAAGGATATAATCTACTAACCTGTAAACGAAGGCAGCCAGCAGCCTTTGACACATGGTAACAAGAGCGTCAGCGCTATCACCACTATGTCCAGGCTCATCATCCTTGATACTCCCAGCAGCTTCAACCGACACAGTAGACGCAAAAAAATCTATTCTTTATTAATATACAGCAGATGTTGACTATTACCAGTAAACCTAGCTAATTATGGGTACCCAACACTACAATTAAATAATAATATCAATATGAATGAAGTACTGTAAAATAGTAGCGAAAACAATAATATTAG